GAAGGGTTGAGCAAGTTTTATATTCCTATCAAGTCAGCATCAGAGTAAAATCTCAACATTCAATGAATTTATATGCAGTATTAAAGTACGAAAATAATCCTGTTTATACGGACCTACAATATATAAGACTAAAGACTTGATCACCGCGTGGCTTGACTTTAGAATATACCTCCTCAATCGTGGGTCTCAATTCAGGTTGTACTAAAACTAGGTTGCTAATTGGTAGAACGTCTATTTAGCCTGGGAGTTCGACTGAGTTGATAACAACCTATTCCCTATTTCTACCAGCAAACAGCAATGCCATCATTGTTATGTCTCAGTTTGCAGGGTAAGAGTCAGTGTAATTGGGGGATGTGAGACAGTCACCAGTGTGACAAAGCATTTGTAGCCTATTTTGTTTTAAGTTGATGGCGAGCGTCCATCGGTATCATTGCTAGTTTAATTGTCACCCTAATATTATAAAAAATTATTAAGAACCTTTAGACGTGTTAGAGCCATGCTGCAGTTATATTGATAGTATAGTTGTAGCACGAATGGGTCGTCTCGACTGGTGTAGGACCACGCTTTCACAGAATACCAGCGGCGTAAATTAGCAGCTTTTACTGCTGTGTTTTGTATGGTGAGTGTAGAGATCCGGAGACCCTTTTCTATTGGAAACGAGGCATTTCATTTTAGTCCTCAGGGGTGACAACGCATCTGCATTTTGATTCTTAATCGAGGATAAATGTGGATATCTATGGGCCACAGTATCCACTTACCACCAGGTGGACTGTGTGCTCGTTTGTCACCCTTATTCAATAATAAATAGAAAATCGTATTAGTTTAAGGGATAAAATAGGTTTGACTCCTCAGGGGTGACAATGAATTTTTATTGTATTACAGAGGCCGTTGCAGATGTCTGTGAGCTTCAGTAATTACTTATCAGGTGGACCTGTCACCTTGATGTTAAAAAGCACATATATTATTTGTTTATGTGTAACTACGTTCCGTTGGCTCTGCTGATTTTTCGATAAAGAGAGTATAAGTAAATGGTTGTGTAAAAATACGACACTGTGACATATCTTAAGTAGTTGTTCCTTCTTTGCAAAATTAAAAGAACTTGTGATTGTCAAACGAATTAAAATGCTGAAGTGGCAACAGATGGGCCGTATAGCTAGCTGGTAAAACCGACAATTGACGGGGAATTAATGTCCTCGAACGGCATACTTGTGTAAGAAGTGTAGGGCAAACCCCCACTAGATGAAGTGATGACCTGGTATTGGTAAGCGATGCAGAAAGTCGATGGAAGCAGTTGGCTCAGGACCGTGCTTTGTGGCATTACTTGGCCGAGGCCTATGTCCGAGAGTGGACTTGTGAAGGGCTGTAACGACGATGATGATGACGATATGGTCCAAAGATCAAATTACTTTAATTGGAACTACTCACTTAATAAGTTGGAAAACATATTTTCATTTAGAAAAACCTGTATTTTTATAAAACTCAAATTCGAAATATACATAAAAAAAATACATGAAATCGTCTCCAGACACAAGCTATTTTAGTTAACAAATAGTCTCATCCATAGGTATTGCGATGTCATTCGCTTAAAATTCGACCATGCAATATGTCTAGATCCAGGCAGACGGAATATCAATGGTCTGTGACCTAGAATTACCTGCGTAGTATTACCTAGTATGAAATCAACTACCTATTTGTAGAGCTGACAATTTGATCAATAGATTTTCCATGAAGTTATATTTGCACAGATCATCTTCATAATTTATATTTTAATTAAATTTATGGACTACCCCACTGTTCAGAATAAATATTATTTGATATTAGATGCTTTTCGATTCGAATTGATTCCTTTTGACATAAAATAAATATTAAAAGGCTTAGATTTATTTTAATAATGTTGGTACTGTAATTTCAACTATATGTTACTTTTTAATATTTTTTTCAAGTATTTTGTAGACTTTCTTTTTCTAATCAGTCTGTAATTGTCATTACTTCTGGATACGGCCCTCTCCCAGATGCAATACTATTTGGCAGCTACAATCAATATTCGATGTTTCAAATCTTTAACACTGCTTCTTACCACTGATTTAAGTATTACATGGTATATATTAGGTATTATTGTCATCTACCTTGAGACATTTTAATGTTTTCCATTGTTTCTTACAACTCTCATGACGCTATAATGTGGTGAATTATATGAGATAATTGAGATAATGCATTTTCTATACTTCTCTTCTCTTATTTGTAGACATATTTTATTCTACTTTTGTAAATTAATTTTCCTGCATTTTTGCATACTATTTATAATTTAGTGCATGCTCGTTCTCCAAGTTTTAACTAAATAAATATCTAAGAAATAAAGACAAAAAATATTACAAGGACAAATCTTTCAATACGCACTGGCGAAGCGCTGCGCTGGGCACTGTACAGAGAACCAGCAGATTCTTTGTTCAGTTCCTATTTGTAGTTGTTACTTTACTCTTTACTTTGTGCATCATACATACTTATACTTGCATCATTACCGTATCATTAAAACAAAGTGATTTATTGAAATCATCTTCCACTTGTTATCTTTTTTATCAATGTGTAAAAATTCATTGTTGAACGTATTTAAAAAATCTCAAGCCACAAAAAAATCTTAAAGGATCGGCGTCGTTTAACATAAATGAAACGAACAATTTACCTAACACAAGTCAAATGAATAAGTTATTCATTTTGGACCTAAATAACGGTTGATTTATGCACTTACATTATAATTTATTATGGTATTAACAGTGTTTAATTTAAATTTAATCGAACTCAAATACATTACAGGAAACTAATTTAGGCTAGCTCCGGCATAGAGACTAGAATTTAACTAGAAATTTTAAGAATATGACAAAAATTAAAATGATAGGAGAAAAGTGTGGTTAGTTTCTTCAACGTGTAGAAAGACAGAATTAGGAAAGAGTGTAGAATGTAGAACAAAGGGCTAGTAGGAAGTTTATCTACCAAATTGGTGACGCCATTGAAGATGGGCCAAATAAAGAGTGCATTCAGTTAACAGATGAATGTGAAAGAAGCAAGAGAGATGCGTCAGGATCGTGCCAAATGAAAGTCCGTAATCTCTGGCTATCCCACTGCAAAACATTCGTATGAGTTTCTGTCATTTGGCAAATGTTCTTTTAATATTATGTAAACTAAATAAGAGAAGCTTCTCGAGTATGTACTGAAACCCTTTCAATGTCTTATTTTTTTAAAACGAGAAAGTAGTAGTAGTAGTCAATAGTATTAAATATGTAAACGAAACATATAACTTTTTTTCAATGAAACCCTCAGCAGATTACTTAAATATCTGTAATAATTTTTAATGGAAAGCATTGTCAAAGGTATAAGATGTCTGGTACTGAGATCGATAATCCGTCTGTTAAGCGTGCCGATCGTTACCAATCTTCCTTACCTTGGAGAGGACCCAATTCCAACAACGTTAACGGGTTGATTATCATAATTTTAACTCACCACCTTTACCACCACCGTTATCGTCATCGTCATCATAATTATTATCATTATCATCGTGATCAGCAGCACTATCAAAATTCCACTGCTTAACTAAAGCTTCACCCATATCATTTTTGTATTACTTTGTTTGATCTGGAAGATGCTGCTGCCCATCTCCTGTTTTATTTACATTTACCGACTCTTACGACATCCCACAGGATATATAGGGATTGTGTTACAATAACAAAATAATTTTATTTCAGAATATATTTTATAATAATACTTATAGGTATAGGTTAATATAAATAAGGAATATTACGAAACATATTCTTAAATACCTGTTATAATATTTTTATTTCCAGGCATGTGCACTTCCTTATCATATTTAATTCAAATTAGAAACTCCATGTTAGCTTCTTATCATAATCAACATATTCGTGAGATCATATTGAAATTCATATGCCCTCGTATTGCGTCCATTCGTTTCGTTTCTGTACAAGGATTATGTTAAAATATGTTGTCAGTCAGTTGTTTGTGCATCGGGCTGTCACTAACATTTCAATTGAGTAGGGTTTTTGCCGCGGCTTCACTTGTTGTACTTTGGACATCAAATATTTATAGCATTTTAACATCTTTATTGACGCGGACTTGACATTTAGGCCGGAATAAGGGAAAGTATAGGCTTACGGCTGGTATTATTACTTTATTTTATTCATTCATTGTTGACTTACACGGAGCATTCCATCTTTTATTCTATCTTTATAAAACGAGCTATTTTGAATATATATGTAAATAAACAATTAAGTTTCAACGTCAGATATGATATAAATCAAATTGCAAAAGTAACTCATTAGTGAGCGAGGATACTTAAAGAAATATAACAAATGGAAGGGTTTAATTTGGTAGACATACTCGAGACTCACCGCGTATCGATCACAGAGCCACTGGCGGCCGTCCAAGCCGCACCAAGTGGTGGGCTGAACCGTCGACATAGCGTGACAGGTGCGGCATGCAACCGATGACTCTGACGCTCACGCCGTCGTTCGACAGTCCTCCTTTGATATCCACTGCGTGTCTCTCATCTCTGTCAACTTTTCACAAATTATTACTATTTATTTACTAGATTATTATTTTTTGCAATGAAACTCTATTTTGGGCGCGATTTGTATTGCAATAACACGTGTCAAAAAGCAAGCAATTTATTGCAACATGTCGGCTACAATGCGTTTTACGAAAGAAAAACTCGGAAGTAAAATAATAAATTGAGCAACAGTATCATTTTTATTTTATTATTTTTAATCTCGCCATTAAATCGTGCACATTGCCTCCAGCTGTATATCACAATCGAGCAAGCGTAGCAAAGCACGAAGTCGATCGAGCCAAGTATTCATTGGCGCTCGAACGGGCATTCAGTTCTAAATAGTAACGTGCCTCACGTTTGTGACTAGAATAATACCACATTAAATGTGTTTGAACATGCTATTTTGACTGCTAATATTTCTAATTATACATTATATAATTTTCAGGTACAGTCAACGCAAACGGGGAAACTAAGCGCCAGAGGACATCTTACACTCGGTACCAGACTCTCGAGTTGGAGAAAGAATTTCACTTTAACCGATATCTAACGCGGAGAAGAAGAATTGAGATCGCACACGCACTTTGCCTTACCGAGCGTCAGATCAAGATCTGGTTCCAGAACCGGCGCATGAAATGGAAGAAGGAGCACAAGATGGCGTCGATGAATATTGTGCCGTACCATATGAATCCATATGGACATCCTTACCAATTCGACCTTCACCCGAGTCAATTTGCTCACCTCTCCGCATAGGATCAGTGGAATTTTTCGAATAGTGGATAACTGATTTACTAAAGCTTACAGTCGATCATCTGTGAGATGAGGTTGTTTGTACCGTCTGTATCCACGAAGGCTTCAGATGTTACAACAACCAGACTGGATCAGTTATTCGCTGCTCGAAAAATTTCTAATGTGCTAGACTAATTTGTTGATATACTTGTTGTGACATTACCAGTGACAGTAAAAACTTTAGTGTTTGTGCTACATGTATAAAGAAGAGGAAAAAATTCATGTGAATGAAAGAAATGTTTATTTAAGACCAAATGTGTAAAAAATAATACTTAATATAAATTCAATGCTTAGAGTCTATTAGATGTCCGAGGATTCAATCGGGATCTTGTTTTAATCGGAATCAATTTTCGATCACAGTTATTGTTTCAGCGTTTATTGTAAATGCTGAAAACAGTGTCCAACATTGGTGTAGAAAAAAATTTACCTAGTCATAAGCTGTAATTTGATCTGCATAATATTCCTAATACTGTAATATAACATAAATTAAAAAATAATAGTGTAAATTGTGATGGCTAGTTAGTGTTTAAGGTATAAATGTCGTTTATTTTAATGAATCCAGTACAGAGCTGAAAATCTGAATTTTAATCGGACACTTAATATTTTACGCTAGCGATACAACGTGCAACAAATTCGGAAATGTACAGGGATTACTTAAATATTGGCAAATTTGGGAGTCAGTTTCAAATAGAAAGAAATGTCAGTTGAATTCATTTAAATACAATTAGTAATTGATCAAATTATTCTATAGCTTCCGTATAGAATCATGTGATCAAAGAAAAGCTTGTAAAAGCGCTGCGAAATTACTTAAAAATATAAGCTCAGTAAATTAATAAATAATGTGTATAGTCATAAATTCCCTTTCTATTGTTATACATTTTGTCGTGTAGTTGGAATGGTGAAAATTTAATATATTTTTCAGCTTAGTACTTCTCAAAAAACTGTTTTATGTTCCTGTTCTTAGTTGTAAATAATAAAACATTTATCTCACCTTAAATACAATTTATAATGTAGAGAAAGCGTTCTGTCATTCATCATAGAGATAAATAGTGTATTTTTCTCTGATTTTTTTCACAAACGATACCAATTATAACATGTGACTATTTCGTACTATAAAAATTTAATGTCGTATTTGTAAAATGTACTTAACTATGCCTAGTGAGTAAAAATATTACTTTCTTAAAGAACTAACACAGTAAAAATTTGTTTTCAATAATTCTAAATCATTGCGGACTTACAGAGAAATCTCAATGTTTTGTTACATTAGAAAATGTCGTGGTCAACTGTGATATTCTGTTAAAGTTTATACTTAAGTTAAACAGAGAGTTTTGTTTTTTGATAGTAGAATTTTTTCCTGCCGTATATTCATTCATAACTGTTTGGTTTTCTCTACTGATTCATTTGTTTCTTTATTTATTGTTTGTAAATACTAGATGTATTGATTAGCGTAATTAAAGTTAATAATGTTCAAATACAACTATGCGCATGAGTATTTTTATCAACTGTATCATTGATTTTTTTCAAATTACTGTGCAATAGGATGCGATCTAACTTTCAATGTTTCCGGATCTTCCATCTTTTTGTAATATACTGTTTATTTAGTTGTGTTATTTCATTGTAACTAATAAAATATAAATATGTTTATCGTTCATTCCAATTTAAATGAGAATTTAGGGAAGTATGCTCCACAATCATTTAAATTATTGTATTGTATGAATAAAGTGTATTAAATTTGAAAAATTGGTGAAAATGATAAAATAAATTATGAAGATAGTTGATTGTTTATTTCGTACTAATTATATTTGTCATACCAATAATACATATTAAACTTCTTCCAGTAATGCATATTCGTATTTCGCCTTCATTTACGTATTTTACGATCAACTTTCAATCGAGTAGCAGCTAGCGTCAGTTAGACGCCGCTCAGTTTGATAGCAGTATTGAGAGATGATAAATGAACGGCGTACCAGTGACATGACAGCCGAACCTGGGGCGCCAACACCACGTGCCGGCAACAAAAGAGTGTCGAAAAATGTGAAGGTTGCCTTAGTTTGTAGGTCGCGGGTTGCGTATCGGAGGCTGAACCTATAAATCATTCCGTCCGAATATTTTGTTTTGTTCGCTTTACTGTGATACAGTTGTTCGTTGGGAAAGATTGAATATTGTGAGTTGCGGAAACGGAGGCTGGTTCTAGTCGAAATAAATTGTTTGTATACAGTCTTGTGATTACAAAGTATTTCTGCTATGGAAATTATTCCATCACCCTAACGTGAGTTAAATACTGCACGGATGCAGTGAGAAAAGTTTCAAATGAAAATTCTAATTAGATTTAAATTTAATTGAGTTTTTGACTCTAAAATTATGTCCAACTTGTCAAACACAAACGTAGGTGATATGTAAATATCAAATTTATTATTCAAACTTTTACTCAACTGCACTCAAAAACAGATTAAGCATTTTTCAAATTTAAATTATAGATTATTCTCATGGTTATTAATTTTAAATTTACAAGCAAGAATTACTTATTTTTAAATGAATTACTAATTACCATTAAAATAAATTTGAGCCATATGTTTGATAGTTTGATACTTTGCTTGTATATGAGTTATTTTGTTGATCTTTATATACATTCCTAGTTCAACAAACAAAATCTCTGATATCGCTTAACCGAAGCACAAGAGGCACGAATACTTTCGAAGGCATGCCCTTAAAGATACCTGCGCGGATAGTGTATCGTAACAATGAGTAATATTATTAATGTTGACCTGTCTGTCCGTCTGTGGAGACCACTGGGCGATTACGAGATATCTCGCATTAAAGTGTGCTGTGTCGCGAATCATTTTTCATTGAGCTTGGTGTCATGCTGGTCTTGTAAGACACCGTTTTGACGACCCTGATAAGATTCCATTTAAGTTATTTTGAGAAATTGTTATGAATGGCTGAGATGAAAGGTTGTGATTTTATGAGAACTTATAACAATTATTTAGGGTTTAAGCGCTGTTGTGCGAAAATAAAAGTACGTAAGAATTATTACAAGACAAGAAATAAAGCACAAAACAAATTAAATGTATGTAGATAACAATTTAATACGATACCTTTATGGTTATATTTATAGTGTTCCGTGTACACACGGACAAGAAAAACAACTTTGTCATAGTATGCTAATAACCAAATATAGATAAAAATTCAGCGTACCGAGATGTTTAGCCCTGTATGTAGCGATGCCTCCAGACATGTCACCAACACGTGCGCCACCGTTTCATCCTCCCCCATACTCTGCACAGATCACTATCTGTAACACCTATAGTAAATAAATGTTTGTTATAGAGCCATGTCCTATGATAGCACTTGTTACTAAATTGATTTTGGTTAAACGACTGTTTATTTCAGGCAGGGCCTCCCTTGCTTGTCTACAGTCTACTAGATTTTTCCAAATCTGAGCGTGTTGATTTGTAAAGTTTCTATGTACTGTGAACGAAGTTACCAAAAGAGATTGGTATGATTGATTCTGGCCCTATAGTGACCAGAGCCTATCCTCTTCTGGCCGTTCGTCGCTGCATCGTAGCCCCTGGATACACTGTATCCCTTGATCCATTACAGAGTCACATCGTCACATTGTTGTGTATACATACCTCATTTAGTCGTTTATGTCATTCATATATTAGTTCCAAGTTCACCACATTGCAACTCAGAGCTTCTAATACCGCCATGCTCTCGGTCAGTATTCTGATGGAGGGGTCTTTTACCTTCCTGGCATCTATTGCTATGACCGCTTGCATGATACCCATACAATCCGTCTGAAAGACTGTTTTGTAGGTAACCAACGGTGTGTAGATGTACTAAGTAAGGTCTTCCGAGAAAATTCCAGATCCTGAACCTTCATTTTTTTTGGAACCATCACCGAAATTTCTAAATTCTTTTGGGTTTAATCCCTCCAGCTGGTTAGTTTCATTTAATTGTATCTTATATTTCTTATCAAACAAAAAATTTTGAGGGTTCTTATCGTACTTGGCTTGTAAGATAGGAAGAATTGGTGTAAGTTCCATCAATTATACATATATGAGGAACTCTTCTTTTACTCCATAGATTCAAGGTCTTGTGTCTAATGGCAACTAAAGCCGCTTCTTGTTGTATGTGAAGGTGAAGCAAGGTTAGCTCCAACATAGTCTTCAAGACTGCTATTGGTGTAATTCTTATGCAGCCTCTGGCAGCCATACATGCAAGTCTCTTATATCGCTGAATCTTTTTAATAGTGGTGTTTTGGTTTACAATACCAGAGCACCGTATGTTATCACTCATCATGGGCCGAATCACACAGTATAATTTTGGCGTCAGAACTCATCGTTTACCAATCATGTTTTTGCATTGCCCGAAAGTTATACTAGCCTTGTTGATTTTGTTTATATGTGTTTATTCTAGTTCAGTTTACTGTCCAAGTTAAGACTTAAATATTTTACCTCAGAGTATAGCTGGAGTTTTGTGCTGAAAAGAGTTGGGAGGTGATGTGAGTTATTCAGCATACTGTTTTACTAGGGTAAACAGTTAAGTCATATCTCCTGCACCATATCTCCACTATAATACGGGGATCCCCTTGGGTAATGTTATACACCATGCTTGCTGTCTTTCCAGAGACCAGTATTGTAAGGTCGTCTGCATAACCTACTGTATACAAGTGATTGGCATTTAATTTGCTAATAAGTTTATTAATGAGCATATTCCACAGGAGAGGTGAAAGAACCCCACCCTGCGGGCAGTATTTCTTGATCTAGATTGTTGGAGAATCACCAGCAATCTTTATTGTTCGTGTACTGAGCATGTTTACTATTCAGTCAATCATTGCCGGTTCAACTTTGTGTCTACTTATTGCTACTTTTATGTTGGAGAAGTTCGTTCTGTCTAAAGCACCATCTGTATCTATGAAGGAAACTAGACATATTTCTTTATTTTGGATGGCCTTTTCAACC